AAGCACGGTATGGCATTCCTAAAAAATTCTGTTTCCAACTGCTCGTTGTTGTAACTAGTTGTAACCAGCGAGAAATGGCGCCAGCTCTCTCTTAGCGGTCACGCGGTTTCAACACGAGCGCGGAGCGCGCGAAATAAAGATCATTCGTTCGAATCTTCATGCTGGCTTATGCATATTGCGCCCTACATGGTGGCAGCGATTTAAGCCAAATTAGTTTATAGCGATTCAAGGAAACGAAGCAACGCTGGACAGTAGGCCTGGACAAGATTCTTGTCAGGAACATGGCGAAAATTTTCGACACTTGCTCTAACGCTGCCGAGAGGAAAATCTACGACTTAACCCAAAAAAGATCCAATTCGCCAAGACAGAAGTCCTGTCTTGGCAACCTCGGACAAGTACTGACTGGTGATGGAGTAGCAGTTGACTAAGAGAGGATCAAAGTCATACTGGAGGTCAAGGAACCTAAATATCGCAAGGAACTTCCAACATTTCTCGGAATGATCCCCTACTAATCGAGCTTCATACAACGACTTTCCAAGCGTGCGACACCACTACGAGAACTGCTGAAGAAAAATATCGCATGGGTATAGACGGAAGATCAACAATTGGAGTTGCGAAGACCTGCGAGACGCTTTGACGAAGGCACCAGTGCTGGCTTACTACACTGCAGAAAAGCCAATTACGCTGTCAGTCAACGCAAGTCCATACGGCGTAGGAGCCGTTATCACGTAAGACGGAACACCAATAGCGCACTCATCGAGATCTTTGACAGCCGCACTCAAATGAAGATGGCTTTCCAAAGATATTTATTGAAAGTGAAATTCAAACCTAGAAAAGAACTGCGGCTAACGGACGCACTTTCGCGCTTTCCCACGACAGAAACAATGCAAAAAAAAGAAGAGAAACGTCAAGTCAAAGCACTGGAGTACATGTCTGTCACACAAGATCGGCCGAATTAAATAAGAGGCGCAACTGCAGCTGATACGCAGATGCGACTACTGCGCGAGTATGCACAGACGTCATGGCCCGAGCAGAAAGATCAAGTTTCTGCACTCGGAAGGCCATTCTGGTCCTACAGAGAGGAGATTCACTAGGAAGACGACCTTGTGCTGCGGTCCAGCAAGATAATAATACCAACGGCCATCCGATCCAAGATTCTCAACTTGCTCCACACGGCACACGCGGGCAAAGACAAATAGAAAAAAAAAAAGATCGCAAGAAGTTTTGTTCAGGCCCGAAATCAACGCTGACGTTGAACGCGAACATGACAAATGTAGCAAATACGAGAAGTACAAATCAAGAAACGGCAAGATACCACTCCTGAGCCACGCAGTGCCAACGCTTCCTTGGCATTTTGTCGAGACCGATTTCTTCACTCATGAAGAAAAAGACTACATAATCCTGTCGGATTTTTACTCATTTTATTTTGAGGTAAAAGAAATAAAAAGCACCACAGATTCCAAAATAAAAGAGTTTTGCCTGAAAGTATTCGCAACACATGGACTGCCATTGAAAATTATAAGCGACAATGGCCCACCATATTAGAGCCAGGAGTTCCTGGAAAACCTCAAGATAAAACAAGTTTCATCAAGCCCCTACCATGCTCGATAAAAAGGCATGGCTGAACGAGCCGCGAGACAGGCCAAACAACTCTTGCGAAAGACTGCGAACAGTGAAGAGTTTTACTGTTCGCTCCTTGAGTGGCGCAACCCTCCACGAGACGATGTCCTCTAATCGCCAGTACAAATATTGATGAGCCGACACACAAGGACATTGTTACCTGCACGATTTGAACATTACCTGCCCGTTATTGTGCCACCCAAAACTGTCACACGTCGTCTCACAGAAATAACGCGGCAACAAATGGCGAACTACGATACAAACTCAAGAACGCTGCCAGGCATTGACACGGGTTTTTAGAATCACCGTCTACAACATCCTGCGGTGGACATGGTCACCTTCCATAGTCGTAGGACATTCAGCGCCGAGGTCCTACAACATTCTAACCAGAGAAGGTCAAGGCCGCCAAAGAACCCGTGAACACTTACGGCCGGCGACAGATTCTCGACAGGGACTGACCTCTTCGGTGGAAAAGACAGCCGGCACGGAACAGAGTTCAAGTGACTTTAACCAGAGTCAGCCTCAGCCGGGACCGCAGCCGGGACCGCAGCCGTGAAGAAGAACAAGGGAAACAAGGCCACCACAGTGATGCTGCAAGCATATTGATAGTGACGCTCTGACTTTTCCAGAGGAAAGAGATGTACCCAGCGAGAGATGGCGCCACCTCTCTCTCAGCGGTGCCACGGTTTGAACACGAGCGCAGAGCGCGCGAGATAAAGATCACTCGTTCGAATCTACATGCTGGCTCATGCATATTGCATCCCATACTCGTAATGCTCGCTTTTGTATGGATAAGAGATGATCTAAATTTGTTTGGGACGTAGTTGACCGCGCCAAGAGACAATAACTTCTGCAGGAGTGTATGAGGGCGAAAGGAATTTGACATTAAGCTTTTTGGAGTAAGTAATATCTTAATGTATTCGAAAGACTACCAGCTCGACAAAAGTTTCCTATGAGCGAATTAATATGTGGTGTCCATGATAGGTTTTCATGGCATAAAACTAGCAAGAATCAAATTGTTGAAAACTGCTGGAAAGAAATCCTTGAATTCTAATTCAAAATTGGACGGATTTGTCATTCCTTTTGGTTTAAATAGTTAGTACTTAGTTTTGTTCACATCCAAATAAAGTTTATTTGTTTTGAGCCACATGTCTACCCCATCAACCATTTTTTTGGCCCGTCCAAAGAGATCGTGTATGTCTACACCGGAGAAGAAAATATTTGTATCATCTACATATAAAACTATATTCGAACTACCATGCATGTTTACAATGTCGTTGATTTATAACGCAACTAGTATTGGGCCAAGAATCAATCCCTGGGGGACTCCATATCTGATGTGCTGAAGGTCTCATTTCAGTCCGTTATTGGTTATATACTGTTTTGGACAAGAGATAGTTTTTAAATAATAATAACGCAACACCAGGACTCCGCAGAATTTGAGTTTCTTTAAGAGTACGTCACGTTGTAAGCAATCGAATGCCTTTTTAAGGTCAATGAATATGGCTAGCGTATATACTTTTTGTTCTATACTCTGAAGGATTTGTTATTTTATTCCAGGAGTGCAACTTCTGGTGACATTTTTCTGAAAACCGAGTTGCTCCTTTACTATAATATTAATTCAAGTAAAAAATTAACAAGTCGCTAATTTTTAATATTTTCAGCTACCTTCGAAAAAACTGAAAAGTACAAAAAAGGTCAATATTTGTTGTGCTCATTAACTGGTCCATCTTTGTGTATACAGCCACACGTGCATGCTTCAGTTTGTCTGGGAAGACGCCTGTAGATAGCATGAGGTGTCAAACGTGAGCCAGTGGAGAGCTGATTTTCCCACAAACGGCATTTAACGGTCCAGGTTTGATATCATCCATACCTGAAGCGCAAACATATTGTAGTGCCATAATTAGGGTTTTAATTTCACACTGATGAGTCGGATATATGAAGAGAGAATGTAGGCAATTTGTCCTTATAAACTGTTCACATGGTATATCTACGCGGTAATTTAAGGGAGCACCAGCAGAAACAAAGTGGGCGTTAAACCGGTTGCCTTCGGCAACGCCTCTGGTCAGGCGTTGCCGGAGGGGGGTGGTGCGTTGAGACCCCTTCTGCCCATCTTGGCGCCGAGGCACATGGCGGCGCCTGGGGCATCTAGATCGTCGGCGGCCGCAAACTTTGGCAGATAGCGAAACGTGACCGTCCACCCCAGTACACCGCAGACGAACTGAGAGAACGGAAGATGACAGTTATGCTTTCGCATTCCCAACTGATAAGAAGTGCTTAGGTGTCCTCGGAATTATATTTCTTCTCTCTCTTCCGTTTCCCGGGTTTCTCCTTCAGTCCGAGGGTTTTCTTCTTTTTTTCCGAGGGAATTTGGGTTCAGAAAAGGGAAAGGCTGACGCATCGAGGGTGGCATCGGTCGTATCATTAAATGTCGGTTGGCAGTTGAAAGAAATCTACTACAGTGAATTCATGGTAACTGTACTGTTTGAGTGCTTGAGTTCGTTGCTACATGTTTTATTGTTTCGTGTTTTGAAAATCATCTTTACTAACCCATTCAAAGTTACTTTTCCTTCTCCGGTGGTCTGGAGGTTTTCGCGTCGGATTAAAACACTTTTAAAGCTCCCGTACGATAGTGTTCGAACATCAGAACCAGTCGGCATCGCCGATGTTGGCGGCCCTCAGTCAACTTCTAAGCAGAAGAGATGCAATCGCCCGGTTTTATTCGCTTGTTATGAAACAAATGGGATGGTTTTGTTGAATCGGGTAAAATGGCACTACAGAAGCTCCCTTTAGTGAAACTTAACGGGAGAAAAAAAAGTTTTTGCAGGTTTACTGATATTCAAGCGCCAGATAAGTGCGAAACCTGTTCATTCGTTGCAATGATTGCATGGTGGAATGGAGGTATTCTAGAAGAGCTAAGCTTGTTGATTTATTTTATTTTTATGAAGATAAACAAAATAAATGTGACACCACTGCAGATACTTGCAAAAACATAACAATTTAGTGTTTGATTAGTCTGACAGAGTATGGGCAAAATTGTTACATGCCGTAGATGAGAATTTTTTTCAGTGCAGTACGTATGTTAGCGTGGGGTTTTTAGAGTGAACCGCGCAGCACATAGCAATACACGACTTCGCGCAGCTACGATGATCATCCAGATTGAACGGGCTGACGTGGAGACGAAATCCAGGATCTCGGGGTTCTGCAGATCGAGCTTCCAATCCACGTGCTGTGAGGGCATTAGCACAATAGGCTAATGACACCTTTTAATATTGTTGCACTGGCCCTTACAACGACCTTGGCTCTTCATCAAAATGAAGAGGGCAACGTTATCTAAAAAAGTTCATTTTACATTCCCTGCGTTATGAGGAGACACTTACCGTCCATCCGCCGCCATCGGTCTCCATGTCACAGTCCACTTCTACTGATTTGTCACGAGGATAAATTGTGTGTTTTATTTGCTTGCTGCTGCGTTCCCTCATTTTTATCTGGGAACAGCTTACCGTTCGATTTCCAGCTGAAAAATAAAGGTGCGTGAAGCAGACATTACTTATCAATGTTTCAAGAAGAGGGACGTTGCGAAAATCCGACGGTGGTTGGGCCAGCGGTGCGTTACAGTGATTGTTAATTTGTCACAAATGGTCAGAGATGCGAAGTAAACGACGCAGGAGAACTTTGCTAAAATTGCAAACATAAAAAATAAGTCTCTTATATCATTCCGGATAGAAAACAAACACGCACATGTACACAGACTAAACCCTTGAAACAGTGTTGGACAAAATACTCAATAACAGTATTTAAGTTACCAACTACCTGCTTCATAAAGTATTTTAAATACTACTCAAGTTACGTTCACTGTAAAGTATCTTTAGTAGAACTCAAAACTTAGAAATGCAATTCAATTACTTTTGAAGATACATCCGCATTGCGTAATTGGTATCACGTCAATGACAAACAATTATAGAGTTGCGCAAATCTTGTTTACCAGAATTGTTTATTAGCACGCAACAACACAAAACGGCAAAAAAAGAGAAAAAAAAAATCCCAGGGACATTTTATGCAGTCCAACTATAAGGAGCAGGAAATCACTGATACATGTTACACAACTTTTCTGGGACGAAAACAAAAGATAGAAAAGAGTAGAGTGGAAAGTTGGGCTAGTTGGTAGTTATTCATATTGGTTTTAAAAGCGCACAAAAGACGAGACGAGTGCTCACTCGCAGTTGCGAGTGAGCGCTCGCCCGTCGTTTGTGTTTCTTACTCTGTCCTCGTCTTTTGTGCGCTTTTAAAACCAAGATAGAAAAGAGGTTGCTTCAGATATAGTGACATCGCTGAATATCACGTCCTGCGGCGCCCATTAGACGCATCGTTTAAAGGGGCACAATACACCCCAGATGTTTTGCCAGCCGATTGTTTCATTGTCAGAAAACTACACAATGAATATTTTTCTACAGCGTCATGTGTATTTTTAATCAAGTCAAAATACGCAACTGCTTGAAACCGAAACCTAAACAGGACTGGGGAGGAAGAAGGCATAGAGAGGAGAAAGTTACCGGAAGGCAAGTGGATGTGCAACTTCTTTTTTTTTTCAATCAACGTGTTTGCAGTCTTTTAGAAGCTACAAAAATGGGCATCATATTTTTGTCAACCCTTCGTATTGGGTGCATGCCTTCGATGACTCATGACTTTGATTATATTTGGTGGTTGTGTCTAAACCATAAAAAACGGCACGTGATCGCGAAGAAGACATTGAGCACGACTCAAACCGGCCAGTTCTCGATCGGCGGTTTTCGGCTGCAAAGAAAATGAATATAGAGCCGCAAATTGTGTTCTGGGTATTTCGTCTCTGATTAGTCATGTAGAAACAAAAACCTTGGCCACCTTAAATACCGTCACTGCCCCTTTAACTACAATCCATATTCCCTAAATGGAGAGATCACTATAAAGAAACGTGAGATACGGAAATGAGTGAATGAATAACAACGATAGCCCTCATAATAGCCACGGCACTGGTCACACTTTCTTCAAGTTGGTTGCATTCAGAAAGGCACTCAACGTTAGGGGATGCTTTGCTGGCATTTTGAGAGGTCACCCTGCTCGCAGTTAGTTTCCTGTCCTGTTCTCCGCTTATCAATCTTCGCTTACAGACAGTGTTCCCGTGGGCAATAAGTGCCAAACGACGACCAAAATAGAAGAAGTAAATAATAATAAAAAAAAACATCTTGACGTTTTGCTTAGAGTCAAATATACAACAAACAAAACAGAGTGTCTTCGTTTTGTCTCCACTTTTTATATTCTTCTATTTGTTATTTTCTCGACACTCAAGTCTGCATTGTGGTCGTAGGTCGTTTCCCTGTCTGCGTTACGCCTCTGGGTGGCATCTTTACTTCCGTAGAACTACACCTTCTGTTTTAGGATTTTTTGTGGGGAAACCCTGTGGAAACAAAAGGCGCCTTTGGGAAGGCGAGGGCAAGACCTTCATTGGGTACGAACTTTGGGGTGAACTATGAGTCAGAATCGGCACAAAAGCGATGTTTTCACGAGTTCAATCCAAATCACCGTAGCTTATGGGAGCCAGCAACAGGATTTGGTTGCTCGAAAGAATGTTCACGTTTGCTCGTGTAACGCCCATGCCACTTTATACAAAAAACTCGGAAAATGGCGGAATGTCAAAAATGTATTTGAGGTAATGAGTACGAGATACTCAGAAATGTAATCAAAATACAGTATCAAATACTTCGGATTGCAAAATACAAAAATACTTCAAAAAGTATTTGAAATACAGTATCTTGATTAGAGTATTTGAGATAGCCGCAGGTCTGCCTTGAAGTCACTACCAAATCTCTGGACTTGATTGAATGAGTGGGTGGGCGGGCGAACGAGCGCAGAAAGATGGTGGAAGCCGCGACGTGGCGCTTTCGGCAATACTTGATTGGGTACTCCGCTCGTACTGTCGGCCGCGCTCAAACTTCCTTTTTTTTTTTTTTACGCAAGGTTTTTGGGAGAAAGTGCAGAAGGCAGATTTGCACAGCCTCATTGAGTTTCTAAACTTTATATGTTATTTCCACTCGATTGGTTTGGACTACTGGGAGAAAAAGTGGTATCCACGAATTATTAGCGCACCCTATTTTGAATCGATGGGGCAAAAACAACCCAGCGTCCGGTGGCGACACAGTGTGTTGAAAACGCGGCACCAGTGACATCATCGGTAGGCATTTTTTAATTGGCAGTCGGCAAGAGTAGTCAGAACGTTTTTTATGCGGGCTATATAATGTGCATCGCTGCATAAACTAGCAATAATCTTTCATAAAAGCGTCTTTATTAAGCCAAAACGATAACAAATTTTAAAAAAATATTTTTAGAATGCGCGAGTGGTACAGGCGTCCAATTGCTACATCGAGAATCGGCGTGTCGGGTTACTTGGAGCGTGTGCGCGACGCTCATTTTCTCAGTTTTGAATCTGCGTATGTCGTGCACCGCTCTCGTCATTCAGTGGTGTGCCTTCGTGCGCACATTAATCGAGCGCACAACGTCCGTGCGCTTGATTAGGCGAGTCTGTTAGTACATGGGCGGCTCTACTCGCTACCCCGAGAAGATTCACAGGCTTAATAAGGTGGACGTGCCTACACGGGGCGCAAGCAAAGCCTTGAAGCTCGATGACGAACCAAAGGTATAGTTAATTAGGATTCAGGACGACTTCGTGTATAGGCTATGTATGATCACGTTTTCGCCGCCAGCTGTACCCACTCGAAACAACGAAGGCCAAATGTAGAAGTGGTGTTCAATGGAAACAAGGTTTAAGCCCGAATGCATATTTGGAGTACGCTACCGTCTGAAACTCGTGAATGGCATAAATGCGGGACCATCCGCTTCTTCCTTCGATGTGATAAGTAAGTGAACGTGGAAGGCTGCTCCGAAACGCGAGTGTATCAAATTCGTCAAAGCCGGCCCGTTGAAGCTTTGACAAACCCGACATTGTATTTTTTTTTTTTTCGGATTTATTACGGTGTTTTTTCTTGCACCCAGTCGCCGCTTTCATCCCACCACGCTGGATTCTATGACTGGGCGCGGCGAAGTGGACGACGACCATCGTTCTACGCCGCGCGAGTCTGCTTTTCTGACGCTGAAGTGTAAACGGCCCGGATTCATTGGTAACGTCGATTGCGTTCGGAGCCTAAGCTTACGACAATGCAAGGGGCTTTAGCGACGAGGCCGACTCTGCCTGCACTTTCTCGGCGCGGCACCCATGGACCCAACCCGCAGCCGATTGGACAGTCGCTTCGCTCAAAATTCATTGATATGTTTCTGACCATGTCACGAATCAAAAAGGTTTTAGTTTTGTTTCTAGTCTTAATTTTTGAATAACTCCCAAAATAACTGGAATTTCCGGGAAAAAAATTTTTCTCCACGTTCCTACGCTCGATGAGGGCCGTTTCGCAGCAAATTTCAAACCAGTTTGAGACGTTTAAGTATGAACAAAGTATAGAATGTAAGCACCGAGAAAGTGAGGTAGAGGGGGAGGCAAGAGGGAACTTCGGAACGCCGAGCTTTGATTGGAGTGATTAGGGGGTAGACCGAAAGCTAGATGCCTTTGTCTCCGCTGCGCTCGTCGAACCAGTTCGAACGCGGGAGCCAAACACCGGACGCACGTGTGTAGCGTTCTAATGTGTTCGAGAATTGCAATGGAGACAAGGGCAGCCAGCTTCAGGTATAGGCCCGTAGCTCTCAAGCTTTGAGCAGCGCTCCAGGCGAGCAAAGAAAGAATATTTGGCTCGCGTTTCGAGCATGCATCAATACGCTTCTAGAGTTTTTTCTACTCCGTTCCATTCTAAGTGCCAGCGTAGCAGAGGCTACAAGAGCGAGCTGCGAGCTTTCAGCGTCCCTGCCAAGCACGCGCTCGTGCAGTGCGAGCATCGTTCCGGAGGACGCGCTTTTGCGAGTAGCTTCGGCTTCGCTATCACGTAAAGTGAAATATATTTGCTCGCGGAAGCTAGAAAGAAAGGAAAGATGAAAGGAATGTTTAATGGGACCCTGCGGCCGCGAGCTGCATAATTCTGTTCTTTTCTTTTTGCTTTTTTTTATGTTTTGTTATTGCACATCTACAGATGCTGACAGCTGCTTATGTTCGAACGTCGCACGTGCAAAATCGAACGTTACAGCGCCACACGGACGATGCAGCCGGCATAAGATGGTCGCGTCTTGCGCAAGTCTTCCGGACGCGCTCGCGCCCCCTGCCCCAGAGCAACGGGTCTATACCCACTACTCCGTTCACCCTTAAGCTGAAACTAGAAGCTCCACCTTCAGCGCGAGCTTTCTGCCCTTGCTCGCGCAAGTGTGAACGCGCGGGCACGCGCAACAAATCCACTGCGGAAGCTAGCCAGCTCGCGCTGAAGGAGGAACTTCTATTCTCAACATAAGGGTGAACCATAGCCTCCTCTATACTCACAAAGCCTGGCAGTTCGACGACGGAGCCATAGAGTGTCCGGTCGCAGATGTGGAGCGCAAGGATCTGTTAGCACAAAACATCAAATAGCAATTTCTCGGGGAACCTGGACGTCACCGCACAACTCTTGCATCGACGAGGACCGGAAACACACTTGTTCGCTCGGGAGAAGTGTGTTTCGGCGTCAGCCTCAGGCGGGGCGCCACTTACGTCGCTCTCCTCTCATTCGTTGTCTGCCGCTCCACCTTTTTCATTTGGGTGGCCGTTTCTCATGGCGATCTGCGGGCATTGTCAGCGGAGAGGAGGCAATGGGCGAACGGAGTATCAAGGAATATAATCAAAAGTATTTGGTGTAATCGTCGCAACCAAGGCCGGCTCGCTTGAACAGCGTCTCAGCTGAGGCGAGGTGAAAAAAAAAACACTGCAAAGGCTGCGGGGCGCGAGCATCTTGAGACGCGATTTGAGTCCCGCGTACCTCGTGCGCTGGCTATGGTAGTGCTTTCTTTCCCCCAGTCTCAGCTGAGACGCTTTTCTTTCTTTCTTTTTTTTTTGTAAGTCGGCTTAGATTTGTGCGTTATAATATCTACGGGCGCTCTCGTCTCCTCTTCTCCTTTTCTCCTTCTCTTCGCGGTGGCCCACCGTCCCGGGTGCCGCTTACCCTAGTGATGCCGCTGTATGCTCTCGTTTGTTTTCAGAAGGAAATCACAATTGCATTGAATATACAAGGAAAGTAGCAAGCATGAAAGATATCTAAAAATGATAGTGGGCATTATGCAGTAAGTACCACGTGTTTTTCAGAAATCCGTAGCCGGAATTTCGTGCCGCAAAAATAAACTAGACATCGTGAAGAGCTTGAACTCTGTTAGAACGTAGCCCCGGCCGTTCGAGCAAGATGCCAAAGTTTCAGCACCAACCGTTATCATATTCAAAAGTTATAAGCGATTTTCTAAAAAAATTCAATGAAAAAATGGCGGCAGACGAAGCTCTCAAATACATGGAGCTCTATGGCGCCAGAAACCGAAAACGGGCAAAAATGGGCCGCATTTCTCCATCGAAAATTTCAAAAATCCCTTATAACTTTTGAATAAGATAAAGGTCGGTGCTGAAACTTTGGCATCTTGCTCCAACGGCTGGGGCTACGTTCTGCCAGAGATTGAGTTCTCCGAGATGTTCAGGTTATTTTTGCGATGCAAAAAGACGGGTTAGGTTTTTTCACAAACACCCGTTATATCAAAGCACAATGCGCGTAGCACTAAAAAAGTGATCTCCGTTCCCCCCCCCCCCCCTCCCCTCCCCTACTTCTCTTTGAAACTAGAGGCTGCAGTAAAAGACTACTATGATGGCGGAAAGTGCTCACTTCGGAATCTAAGCTAGCCCGTAAAATTTCGAGCTCGACATTACCCTTTCGAAATAAATTTAAAGCAAATTATTTTAGATTTGGCGTTCGCGCTAACAGTAGGGAGTTTTCGTGGATCGTTTCCGCTGTCCCGCAACGTTCTCCGCAATCCACTACAAGATCCGGGACTCTGAAAGGCAAGGCTGGCTCCGCGCACGCGCAGTAGCGCCGTATTTGTTCGGGAGAGCGTAGCGGAGGTAGGGGAGCGGTCTACGAAGGCTCCATGGTGTCGCTCCGTGTACATTGCACCTGATGTGTCGCTACTAACGACCATCAGGATACTCGCTACGTGGATCGATGAAAAAAGTGGTCTCACGTTTGTTAGTATTGCAGGGGTCAAATAACATGTAGGTTTTTTTCGACCAGTCCTGTCTTTCTGTTATTTCCGGAACACGCCGAATACTGCTTTCCATAAAGACGTTCCCGGCCACAAGAGGTATGAACACGAATGCTACGAACATCTTGAGATCTTCGTCGATGGTACAAAGGTTCCCTTAAGTCGTAACGAATGCACCTCTCCCTGTACCTTTTACTCTTTATATCATGAGGACATCACGTGGGTAATTCGAATGAGCGCCTGCAACAAAAAAAGTTGCGCTTTAAATTTTTTGTTGGTGTAGGCTGAGCAAAAGGGATTGACGGTGCGCTTTTTTCTTTAAGAAAAAAATTATATTGCAGTGTAATTACTTTTTAAAAACATCTTATGCGGAAATCTTTCTATTTCTTTTTATCCTTCTCCGCACAAGTAATAGTCCCTACTCAAAGGTCAGACATAATAAAATAAAATATTTTATTTCAGGCATCCGTGCGTCATACCTGTGTCTGGAGGGCTGCAGCAAATGAAGGCAAAAAGTCTTCTTAATTCCCGATTATCGGCTCGGCTAGGTTAATGCCTCCATGAAGCATGGTGGAGCAAAGGGTAAAAGCCTCCTTTGAGGCTTTTACCCTTTGCTCCACCATGTTTGATGGAAATAAACTATTATTATTATTATTATGGGGTTTTATATCTCCCCACAAATGGCTGGCACTGGTTCTGAGATAGCTAATTCAATGGACTTTACAATGGTTGTTTATTTCCATATTGATTGTTGTAGGTCTTCGCAGTGTCTCTTAAACATTGTTTACAATACCGCGATTTTCCAATGCAGAGTTTGGTAACGGCTCCAGTAATGAAGGCTACCTGTTGATATTATGAAACATGGGCAGAGTGGTGGGAATATGTGGGGATTTGTACATGCATGGAAAACTTAGTCAGAGATGCGGCGAGCGTGCGGGATGCGATCGCGGTGCAAGGCTGAAGCATGAGAAAAAAAAAACTGGACAGTTCAGCCTGGCAGTGTAAGACGCCGAAGACCTGGCTCGAAATGTAAACAGTATCAACCATGACTCAGCCCCTTTCTCCAGACAAGTGGGGAGCAAAAATTCCAAAAACTTATGTTACATTTTATGTCGTTTGCGAAGAACTATAGACAGCTTTCCACACGCGCCAAATTGTAGCCGCCGTTGCTGACCTTCAATTGTCTTTTCCAGATGCGGAGTCAGTCCAGCGGGTGTTGAAAAGTCGCCACAAAGGTCAGTGCTGTGGAGAACGACGCAGTAGAACCTAAAATGGCAATAACCTGCCCTGCTGTGGTAATGATGAGGTGAAGCGAATGTAATAAGAGGAAACAAAAACTGAAGGTCGATTACGGCGGCACCCATGCACAGCTGCTGCAAAGCGCCTATACCGCCGCCAACAGGGAGGCGCAAACTCCCGTTTTCTTGGCTAGTTTTCAAGTTTCGAAAGGACCTATAAATCTAACAGTATTTTGATGATGATGTCTTGTTAAAAAGATGTAGAATAGCCAAACTGCACGAGGGCTTTTTTTTAATGTAGGTTCTTTCTTTTCTTTTTCTTCTTTTTAAGTGTTCTTCTCGTACAGCTCCATCAATGATGACATAAAATCACAAATGTTCAGCCCGAATATTTCCCTGATTATGCCTATCGGATTGTATTAATGAATTAAACCTGCAGGTTTATTTCATTGTTTATTGTTTATATTGTTTATATTCATGAATATTTTCGAAAGCCGCCATGATGCTGGTAAAATACTCTGCTGCAAACGCAGCAATATTTTGTGTTCTATATAGAACATGGGAGTTCTAATTTTGCTTAACAGGTAATTAAACTGCAGTCAAATATTTGATAAGGTCTTAAAGCTCGAACACATGCAAAATTTACATAGATTAATAATTAATTTTTGATTACTGCCTAGACAACACTCCTATTAAACGTGTGTCGGTTTTGCGGGATCTTGGCGTCATGCTAGATGAAGAGCTGAAGTTCAACAGACTTGTTGGAATGATTTCCTGTCAGCCTCTTTTAAAGTCTTGGACATTGTAACTCGCCTTAGTTCTGTGTTTCACGATCCTTTATGTTTTTCTTTTTGTATTGCACAGAAGTCTTATTTTGTCGAAATTAGACTTTGCTTTAGTTGTCTGGAAGAACCTTAGTGCCACTGCTGCAGCGACGTTAGAACGAGTCCAAAAGCAATTTGCACGTACGATTCACGCAAGACAAGACCTGTCCGAACCCTATTATTATGTGAATGTGCTCAATCACTTAGGATTGGTAGAGTTTGAAAGAAGACGCATCAGATGCGGTCTCATATTTTTGTTCAAGTGTCTGCATGGCTATTATGACTGTCCTTTTATTGTGTCTTGCAACAATCTAAATGTGCCTGTTAGACATTTTCGCAATAGCCGCGCGATTACCGTTAATCTCATGCATTGCTTCTCTCCCGTAGTTCGCATACAGAACTGTTTTATTCAACTAGATACGCGCCTTGACTTATTTAATGATGACGTCACACCATTGAAGAAAAGCTTTGAAAATCGGATTTAGTGCGCTGTCGTCGGGTCGTTTTCTGGATTTATTTGTTTTGTCTTTTTCACCTTTGTAATTTTGACTTGGTACTCTACTGTCCTAGGCTGCTGGCCATTGGTTGGCACTGAAAATAAATAACTAAATAAATAAATAAGTACTTAAGCAGCCTAGCACGCTCTACTGTTAAGCCCCGGAGTCATGCAAAAATGTAGACGAGGGGTTTTGTTAATTTATTCAAGTACTAATACTTTAGCAGCCTATTAGACCTTATTGCTTTAGATGCATCTGCTTTATGAACATATAAAATTAATGATACGTAATAAAACGGTTTGTCGTAAACAGACATGAATTAACACTCGTTCACACAGTTGTGTTGGATTACGTTAAGAATGCTTGCGTCGAGCTGTTGCTATGCCGACCCTCACGACGAGCCGACCAGCGCACCTCAAGGCTTTGTGCAGCACGACGCAACGTAGCGCAACGCAGTCGAAGCAACTGCGTGAACGAGCCTTTACTATATATTAGACTTCCTTTGTGTTTGGCACCCGATTTATTCAATTCTATAGGGACTAGATAATCTAAAAAAATGTTTTGATGCATCGTTGCGCTATCTGGTGGGAGACCGACAAACTGCCGATTCCTAACGTTAGGGAAATCGTCGGGAGCGGCGCTGAAGCCTCTATAATCATTATTGTAATTTGTTTCTTTTTTAGCTCGGTAACCCCGAAATACGCGCACGGTTTACTGATAACTGATTGCTTCACGTACTGAGTCTGATTATTAAATTTGATATATATCTATGAGTATTTATTGGTGCTAGTAATCATAGTCCCTCTAAAATGGACATAACACATTATGTTTTAGTTCCCTGAAGACAACAAAATGGTGTGAACCTGCTTTGATCAGGATATCGGCTGCACGCTACAAGGTTCGAGGAGTCTTGTAGCTTCATCAGCCTCATTTCTTCGGAGTAACAGTGCATCTTAAATGTGTCTAACCACCAAGTCCTCAGCCAACTAAGCAAATGTGCTTTCGCAAATGAGGCCTATTATGATGGGCACGAAGGGGAGGTGAGGAGGTCGCTTGCTTTTCTAGGGGTTGAGGGCGGTCACGCGTTTCATGCATCATGTGTCACTATTATCATACGGTGCAATCTATAAGATGGCAGAAGCACCCTAAGGGCAAGGACCAGGTAATTATTCCGAAATTGAGTTCTAAATAAAATACAGCGGGCAAAAAATATTCAAAAACTGAAAGAGGTAGTGTTTTCATTTACGGCTAAACAATACGTCTACAGAGAGGGACGCCCAATATGTCCATACTCAATAGCATTTTTTACTATTCTAGCCTTGCAGTGCAAGCTGGCGCTGCTTCCAGCATTCCTCTTATGCTGTTCTTTATGGGCAACCCTGCCGTTTTCATCCTTTCCGACCGTCCATAAAAAATAGCTTAGGAATCTTTACGGTGCACGGTCCCAATATGGGACTGTGTGTCGTACCTGCTTGCAACTGTGACGGTGATAAAAACTTTTGATGAATCTTTCATTTTCAGCAAGACCCCAAATAGCGAAAGAACTGTGTAAAAACATCAGGTATAGGTCAATTACGGAGTTCGTTTTATCATGTACTGAAGCATCTTCTGTATAGTCATAACTTCTACGCGTGCCCACCTGCACTTCGACGTTCATACACACCACGTCGTCGCTTAACTTATCATAATTAGGTTTTGCCTTCTCACTCCAACGGGCAAAAGTTCGCGTACTCGCGCACCTTAAGGGTTGATCAATGATGTACACGGACGCTGATCGCTTCCAAAATCCAACGAAACCTTGGTCCCAAGAATAGAGGTTTAGTCGTTCGTCATCAAACTATTTCAATATAACCGCCTGCTCCATCAGAAAGAACCACTGAACCCACAAGCCATTCTATGGTCTGCTATAAAGCCAAAACCGACTGTAAAACGTTATTTCAAATTTTGATGGTCTCCATATGACACTGCGATAAAGGAAAGCCTTCATCATTAGATATTGAGAAGGTATAATGATTACAAAGATTATTCACTGCTTTATCAGACAAGTTCTAACCTGCCGTCGAGCACCCATGCATGTGTGCATAACAACAGCCCTAGCAACGGTTTGTTTCGAGCACGGAAGCAGGGTGTAACGTCATCTTTTACGGGATAAATTTGCTTTGCGACTGTCATTGCGTGAAGAAAAAAAAACAAAAAAAAAAACAACGAACCCGCGTTTTATACGTTAAGGATGTCAAGGAATACTTTAAGTTGTATTTATTCAAAGTAAAATAAATTGTTGCATCGCCCCTTGAGTTTTGCCGTGCGACAGGAGTATGAAATTCGGGACGAAACATTCGATGGCAAGTATATTTCATTTGGTGTGTGTCAATTGCATCGATTATTTTCTGCCACACGGAAACATTTCATGGAATTTGTTGGAAATGACATTCACTAGAATCTGGTATTCGAGAGGGCACACGCATGCCACATGGCGAACTTTGTTGTCAGATCCGTTGAAAGTATTCAAAATAGGAAGTACATTTCATTTTTTCTGTGGCGACTGCATAGATGGTTTTCTAGCACACGGAAACATTCATTCAAATTAGCCCGAAATGTCATTCATTGCAAACTGATCTTTCGGTAGAAGATAAGCCTGCTACACGGCAA